CCTGAGGACCGAGCCCTGCGGAACCCCACTGCCCACATCCCTCCAGGTCGAAAATGACCCGTCCACCACCAGTCTCTGGGTGCAGCCCTCCAGCCAGTTAGTGACCCATTTGACTGTGTAGGTGTTGACGCCACAGTCCCCTAGTTTTTTAATGAGAATGGGTGAGAGATAGTGTCAAAGGCCTTCCTAAAGTCCAGAAAGACTACGTCCACTGCTACCCCTGCATCTAAGAATTTTGTGACCTGGTCATAGAAAGCCACCAGGTTGGTCTGGCAGGACCTGCCTCTAATGAATCCGTGTTGTTTGGCCCTAAGCAAAATCTCCCCTGCTGGCCCCTTGCAGACATGCGCCAGGATAATTGTCTCAAAAAGCTTACCCAGGATCGAGGTAAGACTAACTGACCTATAGTTTCCTGGGTCCTCTTTCCTCCCTTTTTTGACAATGAGAACCACATTTCCAGTCCTCTGGCACGACACCAGAGCACCATGGGTGCTTGTAAAGCCATGCTAAGCAATGACCTCTGCTAATTCCCTCAGCACTCTGGGGTGAAGATCGTCAGGATCAGCTGATTTAAATGCATCCAGTCCCTCCAGAAGTTTCCTGACTAGATCCTCACTGACCCTAGGCCTGGGTGCACCTTCCCTAGGGCCTACGGGGGGTCCTGGTGTGGGGTGTGACCTGGTCTCTGCTCAGAAAAATGGAGGCAAAGAAATTGTTAAATAGGTTAGCTTTGTTGTCTGCTGCGATGAGCAGATTTCCTAGCATGTCTTGCAGAGGCCCTACATTACCTGGTACCTTCTTTTTCCCCCTTTGTATTTAAAAAAGGACTTCTTGCTGTCCTTGATCCAGGTAACTAGTCCCAGTTCCATCTCCGCCTTGGCCTTCCTGACCGCCCCCCTGCAGCCCTGAGCAACCGAGGTATATTCCACCCTGGTGATGGCCCCTCCCTTCCATTGGGTGTACGCCTCCTTTTTAGCTAGAAGACATTCCCATATGCTTTTGGTGAGCCATGGGGCCTTTGCACCCTCTTACCCCTTTGATCTGTATTGGGATTACCTCCCTTTGGGCTTGGAGGATCGTCTCCTTAAGGAACGACCACTCTTCTTGGACACCTGACTCCTCTCCCCTCCAGGACCTCAGTGCGTCCCCGACTGTTCTCCATACCTCATTGAAATCTGCCCTCCTGAAGTCCAGGGCTGCTGCCTTGCTGCAGGCCTTTGCCACCTTGCTCTGGATGGTGAATTCCAGCAGGCGATGATCACTGTCACCCAGGTGGTTGAGCACCCACAGACCCCTCACCAGGTCATCGCCTGCGGCCAGGACTAGATCCAACAAGTCGTCTCCCCTGGTGGTGCTGTGCACCTCCTGGGTTAGATGGAGGTTCTGTATCTCAGCTAGGAACCTACGTGAGCAGTCAGACCTGACTGACTGCTCTTCCCAGCAGATGTCTGGAAAGTTCAGGTCACCCATGATGACCACGTCCCTTGACCTAACTACCTCTATGAGCGGTCTAGCTCTTCCCCTTGGTTGGGTGGTCTGTAGTAGACCCCCATCACTAAGTCCCTTTCCCCTCAACTTCCTTGTATTTTAACCCAGAGCACATCAGTGTGCCTCTCCTCTGACCCTGTGGTACTCATTGAGGATGTGTATTTCTTCTTGATGTAGAATTCCACACCCCCACCTTTCCTCCCTGTCCTATCCCTCCTGTACAGCCTATAGCTCTTGATATTCACCGACCAGTGGTGTGTTGGGTCCCACCATGTTTTGGTGAGCCCCACTATGTCTGGGTTGGCGTCAGCTAGCAGGGGGGTACCTTCCGTCTGCTTGTTCCCCATACTACGAGCATTCATGTAGAGGCATTTGAGGCCTCCTGAAGATGTGTGCACTGACCCCCTAATCTCAGTACTACCCGGGCCCCTGTTGCTTACCTGGGTATTTGTTCTGCTCGTCGTCGGTCTATGCTGGGCTGTTCTTGTGGGTGACACTTGGTTTAGTGGTCCAAGGCTTCCTCCGTCCTCATCTTCCCTTTCCCCCAATGAGCCTAGTTTAAAGCATGATTGCACAATTGCATGATTCTCCTCCTGATGCAGTTTTGCCTAGATGATTCTTGGGCACATGTTTGCAAACCTCACCCATCATAAGAGGTCTTGAAATCTCACTTTAATTCAAGCATGAATTTATCTGATTCCCAATCCTTCAACAGGAAGTGGCAATGCAACACTAATGTGGTAAAGTGAGCTCATTTATCTCTTACCCGTTCTAATGCAGTACTGCATTCAGAGTCATTTAACAAAAAAGCACTAGAAAACTTGCTTCTGATTAATCCCCCAGGATATGCTTTCCCATGGCTTTTGTTAGGAGGAAGGGTACACATAATTGGGAAATACTGGGAATGTCAACATGTGCCCCCAACATGTGCATTTGGTACTGTGCAGTCATTTAGTACTAAATGACTCCACTGTACTTGCCAGTATTGCAGTCTTGCCAGCGCACAGTTATTTTTCGATGCTCCATTGCCATAGCGATGAGCTACAATGACATAGCTCATCACTACGGCAACATAGCGTCTCATGTAGACGCACCCACTGTTTGTTACACTCTGGCCTCTGTTCCTGCAGGTAATTAAGGCAATATTTGTCCTTCTGAAGATGATATTTATCTTGTAGAGACAGCTTGCACTTTTGTATTAGTCTGTTTTACTGTGCCTTTATTCAGGCAATTTGTACAGAACATTACTAAAATACAGAAGTTAAAGGTAACTTCAACAACTTTACTTGTAAAGAAAGCCAGATTCCAAATCCAGAAAAATACTGGGCTGATTGGATCTGCTGCTATTCTAGTATCTGGGTACTTTTCACAGATGGAAAAGTTAGTGCTCGTTCTCCTGTTGTGACATAACAAGACAATAATGCTCCTGACATTAACTGACAGTCTGCATGTCACCAGATCTTGGTTGTCATGCTGCTTGTGCAGATGGGGAATGAAAGCAGGGTATAATCTGTGTAATCTAAGAAATGCTGCAGCCTTGGACTTTCTCTACAATTTGATCCCTGATACGTATGTAGACAAGGGAGGAAAATGACCTTAATGTTGCATTAGGATTGAGATTGCAAACAGTAGAAACTCAGGAAATGATTTTGTGATTCTCATACAAGCACAGATAATGAATGCCCTGGCACACACAATGTCTTAGTATTCATTAGGATTGGACAGTTTGTATGTTATAGATCCAGATATGCATATACGACACTTGGTCTGATTGCTCTGTCCCTGCCAAGTCTTAATTGAACATTGAACTGGTGACAGGACAACCATGTAGATGCACCATGCCAAACAGCTTTTTAACCATATGTGGTAGATGGGGTGATTTTCTGGAAGAAAGTGTAAGTGTATGTGCATAAAAACGGAATGGGCCAGCACAGCATGTTATCAGCATACCTGTGTGATAGCTCTCAAATGGCATCATGAGCCTGGAGAAAATACATCCACCAGGATGCAGACCTTCCCCTTCCCCCATGGCAGTTTTGAGGTTAGAAACATCACTCATGATCCTGCCCCAGTTGAGAGAGACCCCCCCCCCCCTTGGAATAGGTTTATTCATGAATATGGCTGTGTTAAGGGTGCACTGTCTCTTCCGGGACTTTAAGGGAATACAGACATTTTCTTGAGGCCCTCAGCTGCTGTCTTGGAGCAGATGTGAAGATTTCCCTCCCTTTTTTCTCAGGCAATCCACCAATGTAAAGAAGTGACTGCAGAGATGGGATCCTAGGTTAGGATTTTGCATCTTAAATACAGCCCAACAATATGTAATTGCATTGTTTTCCACTTACATTTTGCTGTTGATTATGACTATACAACTGCAATTTGCTTTTTTATAGGTCAATTTTCAAATCCAAATTTCATTTACAGGTTATTTGCATTATATTTCTTGTTGATTTTGGACAAAGTATAAATAAAGAAACCTGTGATTAATTATAAATTGAATCCTGCTGAAACTGCCATCATAATAAATTTGCTGATTCAATTTAATGTGAACATTCTCCCCCTCTCTCTCTCTCTCCCTGCCTTCTCCTCTCCTCTCCTTCCCCATGCACTCTCACAGTAAAATAGACATGCTACGTATGTATATATTTCAGTTTATAATAATTGTGAAAAAATGAAGCTCTGTTTTATTTCAGTGCCTGGGCATCTAGATATAAACAAGTATTTGATCCAGAATAATTCTAGTAGAAAATCACATCCTGTGTACACACAGCATACACTTTTCAAATAATTATACTTTATTAGGCCAAAGTCTTTCAGTAAAATTACTTTTGTAGAACTGAGACTATTTAAAATTTCAATTGAATTTCTTCAGATATGTCAAGCCTAGACTTTTCTGAGAATTAATGTATCATCTGTGAGCAATAGAAGCTGGCTCCCTGTAATAGAAGCTGGCTACCTGTTCCACAAATACACAAGATAGAATTTTTATTTTTTAACATCAAGGTGTGAAATAACTGTTTTTCTTATAATTTAGACCCATCGAAAATTTTTTTTCCTGGATTCTCAAAAATGAAAGAAGGAGCCTGTAAACTTTAAAAAAAGCCGTATTTATCTCTGATGAATAGAAAATTAAGCAGCTCAATCTAGGGGGCAGACATATGTTCTTCATGGATTTAGAGGAAAAGAGTTTGCCTAATTTTAAATTTCGCTTCCCTCAGGATTTTTTATTGCAGATCTATTTTCTGAATTCTTACATAAACAAGTAATGGGTGTATGAAGTTGAAAGAGAAACATAATAAACTCTTTTTTAAGGCCAGAAGCCTCAAAATATTGATTTAAAATATCTGGAGTAAAAAATCTCAGATGGTACAATAGAAATAATGCATCTCTTACAAAGAACTCAGATTTCTCTTCGTTATTGAAAACTTTGCAACCTTATGAAGACTTAAGTATCATTTCCCCTCCTGTCGTAATGAAACTATAAAGGCAATCTTTTTTTCCCCCCTGTTCCCAAGATTATGAAACCACACCTAACGATATTGGAGACACCACAAATAACAGTAATCAGATCACTTCTACGGGTTTTATCAACACAGAGAATGAAGATAGCATCACTGTAAGTATGCACATTGTTTCCTGGTTTTTTAATTTAGCAGACTTTCTGACTGTAGAACTAATGAATCTCTGGAGTGGTTTTTTGCTTCCTGATAACGGGACACTAGCCTAACAGTATACAAAAGCTGTTTTGTTTAATTTTGTCTATAAAACCAAACAGTGTGCCTTTGAAAGTAAGATTTGGTTCAGCCAAGTACAATACTTAGCTTGCTTCCGACTTCGGAACAACTAATTTTAATTACCGTTTTTTGCCAAGACCATGCTTTCATGGGGAGTTTTTATTTACATAATATTAGATTTTTGACTTCTTTGTGGCCCTCATTTGGGTTGGCCGTCCGTGTTGGATCCCCAGGTATACAATGGGTGAAAAATAAGGCTTAGTCAGAAAAGTTAATACCCTCTGGACTGTGTTATCTTTTCTAATTAGGCTTCATAAGACAGATAGTGGAAGGGCAAATGACATACATTTCTCTGAGGTGGTTCCTCCTTCCATCAGCCTTTCCTCCTTCCATTTCTGTTTCTTTCCATAGTACAGAGGATGGTAATGCTATGCAGGTGTCTGAATCTCTGTTCTCCATAGGATGGGAAAGAGTGCAGATAGTGCCTCACCCTTTGTTCTCTTATATCTGAGGAAAACATTATTCAGTTGAAAAGCTCTTTCCCTCACTTGTTTACTCCATATGAATGTTGATTGTCATTGAGGGTAGCTCATCATAACAAATGTAATTGTGCTTGTTCTCTTTTAGGTGTATGTTGTGGTGGGGATTGCAGCACTGGTGTGCACTGGCTTAGTGATAATGCTCATTATTCTGAAATTTGGAAGACACTCTAAGTTTGGGATGAAAGGTAAGAAGGGATTCTTTTATTACTTTCCTCATAGGAGTTCTTTTTTATCATGGGTTGTAGTAGCACACATCATAGTCTCGTGGTTCCTGAATAATGAAGTTTAGCTAGAAAAAAATGTCATCACACACATTATTCCATTTTTTGGCAAGCAAATAAGGAGAGAGGCTGAAAAATACAGAACTATAGGGCTTTGAACCAAAACTGTGTTCCAACTTGTTTGTTACTGTCCAGGTTTTTGCAGCCCAATTCAATAAAGCCAAAGTTTGGGATGAAAGGTAAGAAGATATTATACAGTGCAGGTGGACAAAAATCTGGTCCTGTTTAAGAAAAGTAACTTACTTTGATGTGCAGTTCTGGAAACTTATCTAATACTACATATAGTAGGTCATTCGAAATACCATTCAGGGTTCCCTCTGATGTTGGATCCAGCAATAAACCACAACAAAAGGAGGTACCCCAGCAAGTGCCACATCATCAAGTTAGGGCTTATGAACTAAATACCTCTTCTAGATCCTAGGGATGTCCTAGGAAGTTGTATTTTTTGAAACAGCTGTCTGAGAAGTGACAAGAGCACACATCCACCTGGAGAGTAAAATTCTGGACTTTATATTTTTTGGTGCAGTAGCACTCCATGTACCATCCTATTTTCTGCTTGTATGCAAACATGTTAGAGGAATTATAGCTCAAAAAGACGCTTGTAATCTTAGTGGGAGAGTAGACTATTAGTGAGTATTTTACCTTGGACCAAAGGATGTCCTGCTGAGGGTCTCTGGTGAAAGAGGTAAGTCCTAGCAAGTTAGGCTACCTGTCTCCTTATTTCTGTCCTATGATTTCTTCTGCCCATATCACTAGTATCTTTCATAGTCTTATGAAATCTTACTTATGGCATGTATCTTACTGGTCCCGTCTGTACCATGACGTTGTGTTTTATTTAGATTTTTGTCTTATTTCTCAGTGGATCTGGGGTTTCTTTACAGGGGAGAATTCCTGGAGTGGATGAGACTTAGGTAGGGCAGAACTGTGGTTGGGCCAACATAGTGGACAAAAAAACCCCCTGCTCCCCTTTACCCAACAACTCATTCTTTAGCCTTGGGAATCATTGTGGGTGGCAGAAAATGGGTAGTATGAAAGATGTGGGAAGGCATTTTGGAAATTTTGGGAACAGAGCTGCAATATTTAGGTCAAAGGCCCCAAAAAAGTTGTAGAGACCTGAAAGATGATGTACAGAAGTGGGGGCCAACCATTTTGACAGGTATGCCACAAATTAAGCCCCATGCTCTCCCAAGTGCCACTCCAATCTCCTTTCCCATCAGATCTGCTGTTCTGCTTTCTGCTCCCTGCCCAATCTGCTGCTCTTCTTTCTTCTTTCTGCCATATCTTCCACTGTGTTGCCAGCCCTCCCCACCATGATCTGTCACATGCTACACAGGCAGTCTGCCTGTACCACTTGCAGTACATGTGCTGAAGTTTGGCTACCTTTGCTTACCCTTTCTTTAAGACTGAAAGGACTGGGGTTATACTGGAAAAGAAGAAGAAGGTGGGAGCCAAAGTGCAGGGGAGGGGTGGTGGGATATCATTGGCATTTGGGCCCTAAATGAGCTTTTAAATACCATACTAGTGGCTTACAAAGTTCTTTATTAGAAAGTAAAATCTCCCCACTGGAAGAAATATAGAAAGTTTATTCTTCACTTTCCAGGCAGCTTTTCTGTCAATGAATTTGTATTGATAAATTATCCTTGGTTATGATTAATTAGTATTAGGTACAAATAACCCTTTGCATCCAAACTTAAATTTACCGGCATGAACCCCTCTCTAGCTTAGAGTTCCAGAGACACTTTTTAGAAGTATCATCATCAACATCTTCAGTGTTTTTATTTGTTTTATAGTAGGTGTGGAAAAAACACTACTATAACATGGATAGATAACTAGCTCAATAGCTCAAGCGAAGGGTAATTATCAATGGGTCCATGTCAGAATGGCAGGATGTTTTAAGTAGAGTCCCACAGGGATCTGTCCTGGCCCCAGTGCTGTTCAACATGTTTATTAATGATTTGGATGCTGGCATAGAAAGCTTCTTGAGCAAAACTGGGAAGGATTGTGAACATGTTGGAGGATGTGAGTCCAATTCATAAGGATCTCAGCAGATTGGAAAGTGGAGCCTAAAGCTAAAAGGAAGAAGTTCATTGAAGACAAATGCAAGGTGCTACACCTTGGGAAGAATAATCTAAAACAAAAATATAAAATGGATGACACCTGGCTTGATGACAAACTTATGAAAAATGGTCTGTAACTTTTGATAGATCACTGGCTCAATATGAGTCTTCAGTCTGATGCAGCCGCATAAAAGGCGGTTGTGGTTTTGAGATGCATCAATAGAATCATGGGGTGCAAGATATGGGAGGTGACAGTGTTTCTCTACTTGGCATTAGTTAGGCCTTATCTAGAGTATTGTGTGAAGTTCTGGGCTCCCCATTTTAAAAAGGAAGTGGAGAAGTTAGAGAGTGTCCAGAGATAAGCAACAAAAATGATAAAGAGCTTGGAAAGCATGTCATATGAGAAGAGACTGAAGGAGCTAGGTATGTTTAGCTTGTGGAAAAGGTGCTTAAGAGGGGACACGATAGCAGTCTTCAAATACTTGAAGAGCTGCCATAAAGAAGCAGAAAAGCACCTTTTCTCTGTGGCTGCAGAGAGGAGGACACAGAACAATGGTTGGGAGTTGCAGCCAAGTAAGTTTAGATTGAGTATCCAAAAAAATACTTCACTTTTAGAACAGTGAGGCAGTGGGATAGACTGCCTAGGGAAGTTGTGGCATTGGCCATCACTGGAGGTGTTCAAGAAGAAGTTGAACAGCAACTGGTCAGGGTTTAGTATTTCCCATGCTTCTGGGCTTTGTTGGTTCCCGCTGACCCCCCTTTTCTACTACATGTCAGGTGTTTTTAAGCCTCCCTCAGAGGCATTGGATGTTGGCTACAGCCAAGGCTGGGGACTTTAACTGAGCTGTGCCAATGCTCCTACTGGGACCAAGGAAGCTAAGGGTTTTGCCTCTCTTCTCAGGGTTAGACTGATCACCATATTTGGGGTCAGAAAGGAATTTTAGCTCATGGTTACATTGGTATGGACTACAGGAGAGGTTTGCCTTCCTCTTTAGTTGAGGGCATGGCCCCCTGGCTATCCAGGATCTCTTGAGCATACATTGACATTTCATAGAATCAGGGTATTGGCCACCACAGTTCCCCTGCTTTACCTGTGGCAGGTTAGGGTGTTAGGTTTATGTTGCATCAGGGTTGACAGTAGTCTTCTGATCTCTGGAGGTCCGTTCCAGCTCTACTTCTTTATGATTCTGTGATTCTGTGAAGACTTAGATGACTCATTTTGGGATCAGGTCAGCAATATGCTAGATACTGTAAATGTATAAGATCTCTAAATAAACCTATTTCTACCGCAAAGCTTGAAACAAGGGTATGATGAAGTACAATAGGGAAAGGTAAACAAGTTGGGTTGTGAGGAAAACAAGTTAATATTCAATTCCTTTAGTACATGCTTTTAGTAGGGAAGAAGAGAGAATATTCAGTTTCTTGTAGAAAATATCTATTAAACATGGTGAATCTTCCATTCAGCCAAAATCATGCTCCAAAAACAAAAGTGCAAACACTTTGCATTCATGAGAGGGGAGCTTCCTGTATTATTTAGGCCACTGGTACACACAGAGCTTTTACTTTTTTTTAATTATGTTGAGATAATATAATAATACAACTACCTTAATCATCTTCCCATTAAACATTCCCCTACCCTTTCTCAAACAGTATCCAAGGCAAAAAAAAAAAAAAAAAAAACAAAA